GGGCGGGGCTGCTTGATATGTCCCGCCCTGTCTTCCTGTTTCAGTTAAAATGACGTCAATACAGAGTAACGCTGCGTGTTTCTAAGTATTTAAGGAGACCCTTAAAGGCGATTTTCTCAATATTTTGATTTTTTTTGCACCCTCAGATTTCAGATTTTCAAATAGCTGTTGCTATCTCAGTCAAATATTGTCCTATCCTAACAAACCATACGTCAATAAAAAGCTTATTTATTCAGCTTTCAGATGATGTATAAATCTCAATTTCAAAAAAATGACCCTTATGACTGGTTTTGTGGTCCAGGGTCACATTACATCTTTTGCACCCTCTTGCGGTCATGGACACCAGTTTGAAAAGCACCGAGCACTCTTGCTGTGTCCTGCAGTGCGTGCGGTCAAACGCTAGATGTCGCTGTCGCCGTCTGCAGTCGGCGTCCCCGCGCGCCTCTAATGTGTCAGCGCCAAACAGCAGGAAAAAAAACTTCGGCAAAAATGGCGGAGGGTGCAACGTCTCTGAAAGGGTTGCGGGCGCAAATGGGTAAGAATTCACTGATTTACAACCAGTTTTGACAAGTTCTCGTTGCGTAAACCAGTCATATGACAAATCTTTAGTACTGTGGCTTTGTTTGGAGGTTGTTTGGACGACTGAGGGCTTAAATCCGTTACTTTCATTGAGGCGGTTTGAGGGGGAGAGTTAGCGGGCTTAGATGGACGGATAACGGCCAGCTAACTGCTAAACTTACTGCAGCTCCAGACATGTTTGTGGTTGTTCACTTATGTTCTTGTACAGTTTAGATGAGATGAATTTACGAAGGCTCAAGGCTATTTAGTGTTGTGTTCGCTGGGTCTGTAACGTTAGGGAGGTTTGATAAGTGATGTCTGGTTTGACAGGGACACATCATCTCATCTTTGTATGGCGCTCTTATCTGTACAGAGCCTATATCCTTGCGTTCATTGTTTTAAACTTATTGTTTCCCTCTTATACTGAATATTCACTTAATATAATGCTTTTAAATATGTATAAACCCTTTGCAGTCTCATAAGTTGGCTTCTACATACACTTCCTATCTACAGTACATGGCAAAAAGAGACACTGAAATTGATGTCGAAATAGTTCACTTTAACATCAAGTTAAATCATAGAACCAGTCGGAGAACTTCATGTTTGATGGAGGTGAGTATCTTGTATTGATTTGAGCTATATACGTGAAACCGTCAACGTGTATAGTTCAGCTGCAACAAACTAACGTTACACACAGGCATCACTAAAGTAGTGTTTACTGATCTGTGGATGTTTAGCAGCATTTTTCCCTTTATATGTTATGTTGAGTTTGTGAGGTGAGCTTCTTTCTTGCTGTCTTGTTGGCCATCTTGGTCAGTAATTGCTAAATAGGATGTCTACACATGACTCTCATTACAGTTGGAGATGGACCCATAACTTGGTCGTTTACCATCTGATCTTTCAGGAAAAATATTAATTGTATTTTTCTCACTATTAGCATCATTGCAGTTGCTGTGTGCAGCAAGCCATCAAACTCTGTTTACTAGTTCCTCCCTCTAAGGAAAACATGCATGGGTTGCTTGCTTTGCATCCTCTTCTGCCTTGCTAATGAGGAATGAGTTGCACTTTTGATGCATTGTGTTTAGCCTATGCCACTAATAAGCTTGAACCTTTAGCTTTCACTGTAGCCTGTGGTTAATCTCACGGAGTGGTAAAAGTTATTGTGTAAGAAACATAACAGCCCTGAAAGACTTCTGCTTTTTGTATGTCATTTTACCTACTTTTCTGGAAGATTCGTTGTTGTAGAGCTTGAATTCAATTAATTAAATTGCTAGAAACGGGTCACAGTGTGGTTAGAAACCTCAAAGTTGGTTCACATCATGATCTGCATCCTGCCGGTGTTAACACTGGCCTGACTGCAAACATAATATAGGGTGGAGTCCAGTGGTCAGAAACTTCACATATTTTATGTCTGCAAGAATGAATGCTCAAATACCATTACTTTTTAGGTCTATTCAGTTTTTTGGTAAGGAATTCATTCCTTTGCGTTTTTAAAGCTATTATTGAAGAGCATGAAAAATAACATGGCAAGTTAGAGTCATGTGATTTTGAGCTGTTGTTACCGTAATCCACCAGGCTGGTTGTAAGTCAATATTAAATGGGTAGCACCTTTGTTTATCAGGCGTATTCATCATTCTTGGCTGTCAGAATTGTCTCCTTGTTAAATAGTCAGTGCCTCTCCTTACTGAGTGGTTATTTTTAAAGGCAATATCTTTTAAAAACACCAGTGTATGGAACAAACTTATGAAGCAAAATGGCTTATATTTGTATTTCAGTCCAACAGGTGATGAACATTGACCTGCAGAGCTTTTTTTTTTTTTGCTTTTGTTGTAAAGACATTTGTTTAAGTGCAGCAGCAGTCAAATATGCAACCCAGGATCATTGGATAAACCTGTTACATTTCTCCAATTTATGATCATATTTACGATCATTCTTGGACATTTCACAACACTTTCAAAGTGAAATGTCTAGTGAGTGGTGATGCATTCAGTTTAACCCAAAATAGATTAATGTGAATTTGGTGGTGTTTTATATGATTGGTTATTGTTTGCATTGCAGCAGTTCGGAAATGAGATGTCCAATATGTGGTGCTAAAAACTTTAATGCAACCTTAAAAGCGTTAAAAACCCTTAAAAAAACGTTATGCATTTGCTGAAGCAACCGTGCCATTTTAGCTTGTTCTACAAGTCATTGAGACTTGACTTGTGACTTGTGATTCACGGGACTCGTACCCAAGCACTCTGCATCGAAAGTGCTGTGATGTACCAGGTGGGCTACCTAGGTTGCAAGTAGTAGGTAGTAGATATGCAGGCTTCCTTAAAGGTCCAGTGCTGATGATAACACTATCATTAGCCTCCAGGAAGCAAGCATAGTTTGGTTTCTACATGTCATAATCATCTTGAAATAGCCCAAGCTTACATAGTCCAGGTGTCCCCACTAATCCTATACAAGAACTGCAGTGTGGATAGGGTTGTCAACCAATTAGTCAGTATGAGGGTGACTAGTTCTTTTAAAAGTTTTGATATTTTTAGCAGCAGTGCTTTTGCTTTAATTAATGTGCTATAATATAGCTCTGATACAGTTTGCTTGAAAAAACCCATTTAGAAAAGTTGCGTCTTTTAAATTCATAATCTTTAAGCACCACTGCTACAGCCACGGGTTCACATGGATCTCTTTAGATATTTAAGTTGCTTGCACTGTTTTTCAAGCATCCCATTACAAGGCTTGTGTTTTTAAGATGGTTTCAAATTGGTGTCAAAAAAGACCCTTGCATTTTGTACTTATAAATGTTCGATAAAGGTCAGTCAAACCCTGAACCAACCTATTGTATATGACTTCCTTAAGACCAATTAGTTGTCCATGCAACTCACAAACTAGTTGATTTAAAAATATATGTATTTTTGCTATTATGTGTTAGTATGTGAGTGTATGTAAAACCACAGCTGTGCGTTCTGTTGAGGCCTGAATAATTGGAAAATGCAGGCACGCTCCTCCCCAGGCATCTGCCCTAGAGACTTCCTGTTGTCCCAATAACGGGCTGCTACTGCAGAAAAAAGAGAAAGAGAGTGAGGCAAATAGTGAGCGGTAACAGGACCCCACTGACCCACTGAGCGCTGACTCTCCCTGACTGCTGGCTCTCCTTGGATGTGCATGGCAGGACATAGAGAGCGTAGTGTTGCTATTTGTATAACCGTTCTTTGTGTTCTGTCAGACTGAGTGAATGAGGGTTTGTTGAACAGCCCAACTTGTCATCTGACAGTTTGAACTGGGCAGCTGTTGTCAGAAGAGATGATGCAACCCTTGTCTGTTTTTAGTGTGTGTTTTTGTTCAATATACAATTTAAAGCTCAATGATCAGCAGTCACAGTTATTTAAATATTGGGAACAATGCAGATTGGCTTTTGATTTTGTTTTTGGCCATGACATAAGGCAATAGTGAAGGATCTGATAGCCAATTATATGATAACTGTGTTTTGACAACCAGTAATCTGGAGTATCTTAATCACATCAAAGCAATGTGACACTGCATTGTTTCCTTCTGGTACAGATTAAATTAAAATAAAAATTTGCTGGAAATTCACTCTCAGGCCATCCAGGATATAGATTAGTTTGTTTCTTCATCAGAACAGATTTAAAGAAATTTAGCATTGCATTACTCACCAATGGCAGTGAATGGGTGCCATCAGTATGAGAGTCCAAACAGCTGACAGGGCTCCAGACTGCGACCAAATGGTCGCATTTTGCGACCATTTTTCTGCCTGTGCGACTAAAATTTGTGAGCGGTCGCACTGGCGCGACCACCGCGTTGTTTAACTCATAAGCGCTGCCATTTCTGTTGCATATGTGAAGCATCAAATGGCAAACGAAACTGAAAACATAACAAAACCTCGCTACTCGTTTGAACTGCGCAGCGCTTCGAGTGTAGAGCATGGTTTATGCTCGCCGCGTCAGCACGAGCGCGAAGGTGCATACAGCAAAAATGACGTGAATATTGAGGAAATGATGGATGGTTTTCATGCTAAAGTAAAGTAAAAGACCGCTTCTTAAACCAAAGGTGAACATTTTGGTATTCTTGTGGGGAAAAAACATGCAAGCACTCACCGACAGCAAGCTTAGTTTTACTTTTATTTTCATTTGCGTTATCTGTGATGTTTACCTCACGTTATGCTGTGGAGGCTCTCTTTTATTTATTTTTTATTTGATTCCTCAGTGTTTGCTAAACGTTCTGTAATTTATTAGTCTGTATATAATACAGCATGTGGTGTATGCCATGCCTCATCTTATTCATTTTTGTTAATAAACATTTTGTAAGCTTGTTTGTCATTGTATCTTAGTTTTATTGTTGTTGTGCTTTTTAATTAAGAATAACAATGAATCCATCTTTTGTTTTAGTCTTAAAAAGTAAAAGGTATAGATGTAAGCAAAACAGATAATTATCTTTTCTTGTAAAAAGTGACAACAAGATCGCAAATTCAAAAGCGAAAGCATCCGTAGCCCGTGGCTTATAACATAGCAAAAGAGGAACTCCCGTTCACAAAATTCAAATCACAAATAATACTACTAATGAAAAAGAACAGGTTGAATGTTAACATCTTTCGTTTCCGTATAACTATAAACTATGATAAAAGTTCATCAGCATGCATTGATTAATCCCATGAAAACAATTGCGACCAAATCATGTGCTCATGCGACCAACTGAGAAAGTTAGTCGCAAAAGAGCGACCAGTGGGAAGAATGAGTCTGGAGCCATGGCTGATAAAAACATTACAATAAACCACATGACTCAAATCCATCATTAAGGGGTTTTAACTTTAAACTGTTGCTTCCAGGCCAAAATATTAATCCATAAAAATACTTCCCCAAGTAAAAAGTCTATCCCCTGTTTTCCTCTCACATCAAAATCCACCGACATATTTGTTCAGAACTGTTTCAGTTGTAAACCATGCTTAATCTGTGAATATTTCTCTCCTGATTCAGA